TGGCAGGAAAATCACATGATGGGATCCTGTTTTCCCACATTAATTTCCATAGGTCATCAGAATAAAATTGATATAAGTCATAAAAGTATTGTTTTCCTATAAATAATTTTGCATCCCTAATATAAAGGTACTTACTTACCTGTACTGTTATTATCACGTTTTTGATTTTGTTTGTTTTCTAAATTACGAGTTTAGGAGGATTGTTTTTATTATTATTTTTATTAGAATAATGTAATTCTACGTTACATTTTAATATAAAGTTATTTAAATTGGTGTCCGATCTTATTAACAGTTTTAAAATTATTGTTTTTCGTTTCAAATCGCATTTATATACTATTATGAATTGCGGTTGGAAAGATTCGTTTAATGATTTAAAATTTAACTTTCAGTTTTGTTCAGTTCATCCGTTTTGTAAGTAAAAATATTAAATAACAATTGTGAACTCACCAAATTTGCTTTAACAATATACTTTTAATTTTAAATGTTATTTCGAAAAAGGATTGCTTAAAAAAATGATTTATGTTCACTAATAGATCTTAATAGTGTCATAGGAATAATATTTTGACGCAAAAAGTGGCGGCACAAGTGTATTTTTTAATTTTTAATTGAATATTTTTAACTGTTTTATGACAAGAAACAATTACTGGGAAGCAATCATTGGGGTTGGTGGTAAGCGTCAACGAGCAGTGGGCTTGGTCCCCTAGTACAATTTTTTTTAAAATTAAAATTAAAAAAAAAAGGTGTTCTAAGTTTTGAAAAGTGCTAAAAAAGTACTAAAAGTTACCAGTACGGATGTAGAAAGTGCGGAAGGAAAGATGCTCCGCCAAGAATGTTAACCAATCCACTATCTTTCTCCCCCGCAACTTCGCTGTTTTGGACAATCTTGAAACTATTGTCGCAACTCTCTAATTGAAGTTAGATATTAGGAACTCTAGATAACTCTTAACCGAGTGTTTCTTAAAAATTTCTTTTTAAAGATAATTTTTTGTTTTAATCATTGTTTTTATCTAATTTTAAGAGAGTCGTCTAGTTCTAGAGATCACTGAAGTTTGTTGTAGGTTATAGTGTGGCGTAAACTACCACTACAAATATTGAATAACAACTCCCTAGTACATAAGACGTGCTAATTTGATTTCATCTTGAGGTACCTTTTGATAGATGAAGGTTGACATAGTTGATAATTAATTACCCTTATTAGTGACCTCCAGGTGTCTTATGAACTCGCCAACATCGATGGATGGTCAACATTGATTTTGCTCACAAATTAGAGCTCAGAACTCCGGTGAAGTAAATGCAATTCTCTCGGCCAATAAATAAATAAAGAAGAAGTAAAATAAATAAACTGCATTAATCAACTAGGGGTATTCGTTCATCGAATTCTATCGCAGAAAGAAAAATTACCAAATAAAGCAGTTCCCTAGAAGTTAACTTAATTCTATCTAGAGCAGTGGTTACCAACTGGCGGCTCGCGGGCCACATCCGGTCCGTGAACTAAAATATATTAGTTGTCATTTTTTTTGCTGGCAATTTTCGTAAAAAATCTGTATGGGTTTAAAATATTTTTCTTTCGCTTAAAAAAAACCTAATTTCGTCGTTTACCGTGAAATCTAACATATCAACGGTGCAAAAAAATTTATTTCTCAGGTAAAAGTCTACTTCTTATTTTAATTTGTAATTCAATACTTTCGTTTTTTAAAACTTGATAAAATTCTGACAGTAATATTTAATGTTCCTTCAAACATAAAGGAACCCTATATGAAATTTTGATAAAGTTGCGGCCCGGCATTTGACTGGTGTTTTTAATTGCGGCCCGCTATTTGACTGGTGTCTTTAATTGCGGCCCCCAGCCTCATGTAAGTTGGAAACCCCTGATCTAGAGGTTCCTTTTTTTAAATGAAGGTTGACATGGTCGTAAGCATGCTAACTTCCGCAATAGCATTTAAAAGTACGTTATCATAAAAAATAATGTACAATAAGAAAACAAAAAATATTGAGTTTTTTTAGTTCAAGTAATATAGTCACGTTATGTAACTCTACATTATCTTTTATTCTAATTGAGTAGCAATTATTTTTTATAATATTTGGAAGATCGTATCAATAAGCAATATTAAGAAGAAGAAGAAAAAAAAAAGTTCTATTTCGTTAGAAATAGAAAAATTCTTTGTAAACAAAAGATCGTCTTAAAGTACATATATATCGATGTTGTATTATTATATAAAATCCTATCGAAATAGATACCCTGCATAACGGATTTCTCTTTGCGATGAATTTAATTTCGTTAAACAGTAACTCGAGTATATTTTCAACAACCGACTATCTTGGGTATCGAATATATCTATTAAAAAAAAAATGAATTCGCTGAGCAGACGATATACGTTACAGCCAAGTAAACATGCCAAAATCGCCAATGAGAGTCAGAGGAGAGACCGACTAATATTGATATTCCACTCTTCAACCGCACCGTATATTAATATTAGAATGTGACAGTTAACATACGCCCCTGCATCCCCTCCCTGTCAGACAGAAATAGCCGGAGGGGGCGGCTGCTTATAAATGACGGTGTGTGTATTTATGGGGAGCGAAACATATTAAGGTATATTGGATTTAGAAACATATTATGACGGTTGACTTTCTCTTCCATGGTTGAAATGATTTATATGTACTGAAGTTACCTTTTTTTTATATTTATTTATTTTTATAAAGTTCTCCTTCAGCTGAAATGTTTTCTTGAACTTTTTTTTTACCATCTTATTTCGTTCTTTTGACCCTAACTATAACCATCCGATTAAGAAATGAATCAATTAAAAACTCGGAAGTTTTTTCTTAGTTAATTCGATTTAAAATGACTATAAAATTAATTCGGTTAAAATCGAATTAAAAAAAAACAACACTTATTTAACGATACAAAAACAAGCAGTATTTGACGTTATTTTCTTATTTATGTTAACGTGAATGACCGAAATCAAGAGAATGTCCGAAATCAAGAGAATGTCGACTTTCACCGGTGAATGTCAGCAATCACTTAGTCGCTATGGTGATGATCGGAAATATTTGCTTTATCCGATTTGATATTAATTTATTCGTTGATATTATTATATTTATTCGATATTTTAATATCTGCTGAAGATAGATTAGGAGAAATATTAGTGTTTGGTGCACCGGTTATATGCATACTAGACAATGGCACTTGACCTTAAAAAAACATTGATGTAGGGCATACCAGGCAGTGGCACTTAACTAGACCTAGTATATATTTCGGACATTTACCAAAGCGACTACGTAATTGTCAACATTCACCAGTTTAAGTCAACAATCACCAATTTCGATCATTTTTTTAAACTTCCAATGAGCTGCACAATCGGTCTTGTCGACGAGCAGACCTAGTGCGTTCTCCAGAGGTGGTATCCACTCTTTCAGGACCACCACAATGGGTAAGATACCGTTGGTCATGTTAATTTGGACGTCTAGTTTCTGCCACACTAGATGGCAGCACCGAGACTCTATTTGGATGCTAAAGTGCACTAGGAACCAATTTCGATCATTCACAGTAACATTTATACCTCATTCATACCTTAATTTTTTAGAAATGTAAATGAAACAACTTGTACACATAACATGGATTAGATTTTACCCATTTCTACTAATTTTGGGAGCATTTCTTTAAAAATTTCGCAAGGGAACAACATTTGTCAAAACTCTTCAAAATTATACTACAGTCAAACCCCGCTATATGGAACCTTCAAGGGACCGAAATTTTGGTTCACTATAACCGGGAGTTTACTATATCCGTTACGCAGGCAATTTAACTAATGGTTCCCAAACTCCTCCCTTTTATTATACATTATTTAAATAAATTANTACTGCATTTTGTACGTATTTGTATGCGTACAAATGAATGTAGCTAAAATGTATGTACATATGATTTTATCTAGTGCATATGTTCAGACATTTTAGTTTCACACACATGTTCATACACTTATATTGTAAATATAAAATATATGTACGTATGTATATAGATGTATGTATGTATAAGTGCCATTGCCTAGTAGGCATTGATGTAGGGAATACTGGGTAAATGTGTACCGGGCAGTGGTAATTAACTAGACCTAGTATTTATTTCGGACACTTACCAAAGCTACTATGTGATTGTCAACATTCACCGGTGGAAGTCAATCAATTCCACCAATTTCTGTCATTCACAGTAACATTTATACCTCATGCATACCTTAATTTTTCAGAAATGTAAATGAAACAACTTGTACACATGAAAATTTAACTCTTTAACTAGGTAGTCATGGATTAGATTTCACCAATTTGTACTCGGTGTACTAATTTTGGGGCGCTCGAATTTTGTCGAAACTCTTCAAAATTATATTATACATATTTTAAGTACTTGTATATAATCTATTTTTTGAGTATCTGTATGTGTATTATGAGTATGTGTATATTATATTTTTGTATATACATATATCTATTGATGGCAGTACATTTTCATAATTGAAACGGTGAAACAGATGTTTGATTACAGCAGACGTGGTGAGGAAAATAAAGTTTTTATCATCAATAATACTGTTTTTCATTTGGGTCTTGATCATTATTTTGATAAGAAATTTATGTTCGCAAAATTAAACATCTGTATTTTAAAATTTTAACAGGGTTACTGATTTTTTCTAGAAAAAGTCAGACCACCCTGTCTTACACTACTAGTGGAATCAAACCCTTTACACATGTTAATTCTATGGGAAATTTAGAAATACAAGAATTTCAGAGAAAAATTTATAGACATTCATATTTTATATGAAAATTTAAGAAGACTATGCATGTAATTTTTATAGGATGCAGTCAATGCCGTACTCAATATTGCTACCATTGGGCTAAATTAAATTTCTTATTTGATAATTTATTGGATATTTATGTATATATATATAATAATTTATAAGTTTGTTGCTTTGTATATATATATACCAAGATGTAATGATTACAAATTATGTATGTTTCAGATCCTTATCAAATGTTTGGTCCAACCAGCAGTCGGTTAGCTACGTCAGGTAAGATTAATTCTTCTTAATACTCATTCCTTATTCATTTGTGTAGATTTACATAAATCAAAATTTTACCGGTTCCATACAATTAATTTGTGCTCTGCAAGAGTTGTAAAATTTATCTATAGTATATTTTGAAAACCTTGAAAAAATTTAGTCAAACTGTTAGGCACTGTCAGCGGGGAAAAAACGGATTACTATTATAACTTTTGAGCGGTCGATCGGATTTTCATTCTGTAAAGTGCTTTGGTAATATCTCAAAGCCCATGAGCCCCTCCCTGTCGTGAAATAAAATGGAAAACTTAATCCCAATGCTGTACTACTTTACTACTTCTTTACACACCTGTGGAGCTGTAACNTTAGTATATATTGAATTTTTTTTTCAGTATTAATAAAAATTCATCATAATTAATTAATTCATCCAGACTCCCCTTATATTTATTACTCATATGTTTTTGGGCCGAGGGATTCTTAATTTTTTGAAAAAGAATTACTTTAATTTAACCAATCATTCAAAAGATATGAAGAAAAACGTGATGCATTGAAATAACGTTAGAGTAACAAACTTTGAACTCTTATTACGGTTAAACAATAAAAATCAACGTTTACAAACTTCGTTTGCCCCCCCCCTTCCAATTTCAGTGATGATTTCAATTTGATTTTTCAATTTGATGAAAAAGTTTCTTCTGAAAGAGTCCGTTTTATTGGTCAAAATAAGCATATTCCGCCACGGTTGCAGTTAACATCAAAATTCACAAATTGAAATTTCACCCAATCGTTTAAAGATTATAAAAATGATCCTTTTTTTTCTGATTCAGGGATGCCAAGGCGACTAAAAATATAAAAAGTGGTAGAAACTGAATTTACTTTAATTTATTTATTATTTCGTTAATGATTCAATTGTAACTACCTCTCTATGACTTATATTTCTAATTATTTAAATATAAAACTAAAGCATTCTTTGCATTCTGTTTTGATCGTAAAATTTAAAACAAATACTATAAAAAGTTGTTAGTTTTGAATTTTTTAATAAAATTGCGGGATTTATTAGTCAGTATTTTTAGTCGCTCGTCTCAACCCTGTTATTGTACATTAATGCTTACAAAAATATTATATTATATATAAAATAATTATTATATATATATATAGTTTATTTTTTATTAAAAAAACATTACTTATAGAAAACTATTATGTAAAAATTGCAATTAATGAATATATCATATACTCAGAGTATATTATAATATACTCTGAGTTATCCGGTTGGTGAAAGCGAGTAACGAAAACCATCATAAATATAACTGTTTTTCAGTAAATTAATGCTAGATTTATTTGTTTACTGATGAGTTAATTTCGTTACGCAAATTAACTTTTTTTGAAAATGATATTAATCCTTTCTTTTATTGACAACAACAGTGATTGGACAGAGTGTTGAAATATTTTTTTCTTCCTTCTTTTGCTTTTAAATACTAACAGGTGTTCCCTTTCTCCCCTTTTTTATAAGGTGATTTTAAGAGAACTCCTAAATATTCCCCGAAACTTGAAATTTCTTATAGAGCTTTAAAACTGACTGCTTAGTGATTATTTGCACTGTTCTACTTTAAATTCCTATTGTTACCTCTTGAATTTCTTATCAAAATAACAGAGAAATTCTCAGATTTATTTTCACAAACCACTCTTACATCGTAAAAACTATTTCCTTATATGCATAATAAAATGCAGTCGGACCTGCTTGTCTCGAATTCTCACGGGAAAGGCGAAATATTTTAGATAAAGAGGTTTGAAATCATACGGGTACTTAAAAAATTAAGAAATTTAATTAAGAAATTCGATTAAAAGAGCATTAATTGTTTTTGGTAGAGAAATACAGGCATTTTTGCAAATTAATTATACCACATTTATCTATTTACAAAAAAGAAAAAAAAAATTTAACATACCTTTAACACTGAAAATAATCTTTTTTAAAGATTTTTGACGTCTAACCTTCGTTCTTTGTTATGTTGTTGAGGGGATTTGTGCTCGATTATTAGAAATTCGAGAAACAGAGGTTTTAAGAGAAGAAAATTTCGAAATAGACATGAAAAATATATTGTCTTTAAATAATAAATATAAGGAATTTCAGAAATTTTGAGATATATAGGTTTTCGAGATAAAGAGGTTTGAGATAAACAGGTTTAACTGTATACCCATTTCTTCATTACTTCTGAAATTAAATCTGTTCTCTCCTGCCATTGAAAAGTGTAAACCGACTAATACTTAAACAAGGAATAAAAGTAGAGCTAGAATTTAAAGTCAAACTACATCTTTCACTCTGCAAGGGCCACCACTAATGCCCCCCCTCCCCGCCTACTTAAGTGGCACGCTCTTTCCGGCCGAGATTAAAAGGAGCATCCCTCTCTCTGAAAAGGAATCCCTCCTTCTTTCTGGCCGCAGGGAGGGATTCTTTGTCTTATTCTAGAAGCAAAAGAGGCCTGATGGCTGCTAATTGTCTGGGCATGTTGTCGCGTGTCCTTTTGGGGTCCTCCTTTTCTGCAGATCCTACCCCCGAGGAAATGGGTGCTCTTTTCAAAAGCATTTCCACAGTATTAGGTAACAAGTTTAGTAATGAAGGCGTCAAGCCGCAAATGAGGCTCGTACATTGTCTCTTCCTTCTTTAAGGGAGGACCCTCTTTAATGTGGATATGGAGGAATCATTATTGTCACATTCATTCAATTCTGTTGAAAGTTGCATGAATCACATTTTATTGGTTTTAATGAAAATCGCAGGCAGAATTTTCGATCAAACGGAAAGGTTGAGAAATACCTCATACCCCCAATCATCAAATTTATGCAAATTTTGACAGAAAAAAAATATTAAAAATGAAAAACTACACTGATGTAAGAATTTAAGAGAATTTGCAGATTGGTCGATTATCTCTAGAACTACTGGACCGATTTTAATGAAATTTGATCTGTATATACATTGATACAATACAAAACAAAATTGGTTCATGAGAGTCAAGCTCCTCTTGATGGCTAACCATCATAGTATTAAAGTATCATTTTCCATCATGGAATGGTGGAAGTTTGTTGGCGTTTCAAAAACCATGAACACATAATGGTAAATATTGGATGATGGTGAACATTAAATTATGTTGGACCATAATGAATCCCACTGAAACTAACATAAACCATGAAAATATTTCTGGCGGGACCATCAATAAATTTGACTTGGGTGAGCCTCCTTATTTCTAGATCAGGCCCTGTTCATTTCTGTACCTTTATTTGTACTTTATTAACTTTTATTTGTGTGCTTGATTCTACACATATTGCCTTGAATTTTAAAGTTTGTTTCGTTGCAGGTAGTGGTCAGATACAACTGTGGCAATTTCTGTTGGAGCTTCTCTCGGACAGCAGCAACGCAAATTGCATCACGTGGGAAGGAACGAACGGAGAATTCAAACTGACCGATCCTGACGAGGTGGCCAGAAGATGGGGGGAACGGAAGAGCAAGCCAAATATGAATTACGATAAACTGAGTCGTGCACTGCGGTACTATTACGACAAGAACATAATGACCAAAGTGCATGGCAAGAGGTACGCCTACAAATTTGACTTCCAAGGACTGGCTCAAGCTACCCAGCCAGCGGCCACTGATCCCACCTACAAGTACCAGTCAGACCTATTTATGTCCGGTTATCACCACAGTCCTAAGTTGAATTTCGTGGGGGCCCATACGGGTATACCCTCTACAACAGGGAGCATATTTCCAGCTCCCACGTCTTACTGGACAAATCCTAGTGCCAATCTATATTCGAATATAGCCGCGGCCTCCACGCACACGATGCCCCACCATCCGGGTCACGTGACATCGCACATCGGCTCTTATTCCCATTACGCATGACATCATCATCATCAGTGCTGGATACCCGTCGCACCCAACTGGACGCACGACGCGTCGTCGCCATCCATCCCGAAATACGACGAGGATGCCGCCTGAGACGTTCTACCAATCCTCTCTTTGGAAAACGATGAACAAAAACATTCTTCTAGGGGAGTGTGTGATCTAAGCGCGTCCTGCTATGTTTCCCGATAGGACAAGAAAAAAAAAGTATTACTAACATTTCGATGAATATTAACAAGAAAAACGAAAGAAATGTACATAAAATATTTAAAAAAACACTACTTGTGTAATATATGTGACTGCTCTTTCAAATTATACATTAAGAACCTTTTTCAATTTGAGTGAGAGAGTGCTGTCAGTACTCAATTTGGACTCTGAAAAATGTGAAGCGTCAGTACATATTGATTTGTACATATTATATTGATCAGTAAAAATTATTGTATTTCAATGAACATTTTTAATTGTAAAAATATTTTATTTGACATTTGTTAAAAATGAGCAGAAGTAAACGTTATATCGAATACTGAAAATATTGCAAAATGGAATCCTGTTTTTGCAATTTTATTATTTTTCATTCAGTTATCCTTTGTTAATCTGCGCAATTAATTTTCTTTTTTAAAGAAAGAAAAAAAAAATTGTCTTACAATGGAAAGTGTTTTTGTTATTTTTTTTATTTTGAAGTGTTAATGCTTTATTTAAAATAACTTTCCGTTCAAATATTACGTAATCATGATATCTTGTCAAATTCGACAACATTCCACAAAGTGAGCAAAAATAAGCAAAACACAAATCTTCTTTCATGCTTACGTAAAAAAGTTGCTACATCCCTTTTTTTTTGCTTTTATTTAGACTTTTAATAATATTATTTTAAGATTGAATTCAAATATCAGATGTAACTTTGCATGAAACAAGATTTATCACAAATTTTTAAATAATAAAATTTTAATGTATAGTTTTGAAAATATTTTTTCCTGTTTTCCTTTTGTAGTCGAAAGTTGAAAGAAAAAAAAAATTTTTTTTTCAACTTTTTCTTATCCCAAACTTAACTTTAATATCAAATTTTTATATGTTATCAAGATTAATTTCCTTCAAATTTTTTTTTTACTTTTTTGACTAAAATCAAAGGATTTTATACCTCACTTAAACTTCTGTCATAACCCTCTTTTTTCATGTCAGCGAAAAAGCAAATCTGCGAACTCACTTCTTAACTGATTGCGTAATTTTTGAACGGCCTTTTGCAGTGAAGGTATTCTAAAAGAAATTCACCGCAATATTCAAACTATGTATATTGAATTCATTTCATAATCCACGTAAAGAGTTCGGAGCAATACAGTAATAAGCCACATTGCATCCAGACACATTTTTTTTTATTAATGTAATCATTGGCATTGTTTCAGATAGGTATTTTACACTTTCACGGAATTTTCACTGAAGTACAATGCGTAGAAACATCTCTTTGTTTACAAGAAAATTGAGGTATTTCTCGCCAAAAAAACTTTTGTAACGGTCACTAAAAAACGCTTCTGAACAATTTCCTTATGTGGCTTATTATTTATATTGAACCAAATATTTCATGTCTTACGATATACAATCCCTGGCCAAATTATTCGGCGCACTATAACATTCTATGTAAAATCTTAACTATCAGGTGATACTATACAGCTTTATTGTTTTTGCGTGGTTCTAAACCCATTTGCACTTGTTTACGTTCGTGTATCAATTGTTTAAATCAGACGATATATAATAATAATTCAACGATTGGATAAATTAGACTATAAATTATATAAATGTAGAATATTTATTATATCAAGCATTATATTAGTATATTATAGTAATTAGACCAAATTATTAGACGTACTGTAGTGATTTAATAACTGCATGTTTTGTACGAGTTTATATGCAATACTTTTATGTTTAAACATACATGTAATGGGTTTTAATTAGGAAGATTTTTTATATACTTCCTATTGGTATTTATTTTTAACCTATTGCATTGCAATGTTAACCAACTGATACTCGAACGTAAACAAGTGCAAACCGGTTTCAACCGCGTAAGAGCAATAGAGCTGTATAGTATCCCCTGATAATTAAGATTTCACATTGAATCTTATAGTGCATCTAATAATTTGGCCAGGGGCTGTGAGAAGGACGTTTCATTTTAAGAAAAACACATTTGATGGGATTTTAACTGCCGAATGCAAATTTTATTGGAAAAACTGCACACCAAAAAAAAAAAAACAAATTTGTCCTCCTTAAATTAATAAAACGTAAAACCAAAATAATGATTTAATAACACTTATTTATTAATAAAATTTTTTTAAATTAACTTTTAATTTAAACAAGCTTCCAAGATTGTTTTTAAATTATTCTTTGTTTCTAACTTTTGATACACTAACAGGCTCTCTGTTCGCTGCGCACACCAACCCCCGCAGTTGCTTCTCATTCATCATTGAAGATCAAGAAAGAAGAATGGTTTTCCTCCATTTGTTGAAAAAACTACAATTGGATTGCCATCTGTTACATTTTGAGAATTAGGGGAGAGTGGGGTCAATTGTAAAATTTTTTACTTAACTAATTTTAACTAACAAAAAGTCCAATACATTATTAGTATTAATTGACAGACGAGTAATGTAGACTATCCTCTACTAGAAAAAAAAAAATAAATACCTTATTTTAAATGTTATTATGTTAGTTATTAACAATTTTTGACAGTCGTGCACTTGTTACAATTGTCCCCACTTACGGGGTCAATTGTAACAGTTCATAAATTCAACTAAAACATAGTTAATTATACATATTATCATAGTTGTGATATATTTTTTTATTGATCAAAATAGTAGTGATATTTTAGGAGTAAAAATAATAATGAGCAGAGACCTAAAGGGTTAAACTTTTAACTTTAAGGGGTTAAAAATTTTAATTTATGCTGTGAAAGGTGACAAATAAAATAATGCACATGCAACATAATATAAATGATATAGGAAACTATTGGTGGTTCTTAAAGAGTTAAGTAATGGTTTGTAAACATAAGATTATTTATTTTCAGCTGTTACAATCGTCCCTTTACTTATTGTTACAATTGTCCCCAAGACGCCATTTCAGCTTCATTTGTTAAAAACAATGCTAGTTAATTAGCAAAACTAATCTTTTTTTTTTTTTGAAATGTTAATTAAGGTGTCCACTTACATATTCGGTTAATAATTTTTATTTGTTTAAACAAAATTAGTTTGTTACAATATAATATTCTAATACATGCAGATTTATTAAATACACTTTGTGCGCCACCTAGGAACCAAATCTAGAACCCGACGCTGGAAATTTTTGCTCTGTTACAATCGTACCCTGTTACAATTGACCCCACTCTCCCCTACTGATTTTCGGCAAATCAAGAAATGGAAAATTGGTTACCTCGAGAGTTATTGCGCAATGAAGATGAGCCGTACTGTAAAAAAAGAGTTACTGTCAGTGCGAAAATTCGTTTTTTTTTTTTTTTTTTTTTTTTTTTTTTTTTTTTTTTCAGAACAAGTTTTCCGGTTATAAACCGTTATTTCTCCTTGATCTTCATAAAAGTTTTTTTCTTTAAAGTCCATAAAAAAAAGATCATTTAGTTTGTAACAGACATAATTGTTATAATTCCATGAAAGCACATTTTATTAATATGTTAATCGTAGCGCAATGAAAGGATAGCTGGATTTGAAAAATAATCAATTGTACTTGGAAAAAAAATTTAAACTTAGGAAACTTAGCACTAATATTTAAACTTAGAAATACACAATATGCCGAAAAACGTAGAAAAAATATGCTTATCCGTTATGTGACACTGTTTTGAATGCTCTAATTAGCGTTACATTTTGTTTTGTTTGTTCAAAAACTCGACTGCTTAGAAACTTAAAATTACTAGGGTATGTAGAAAACGTACAAGGAGTACAATGAAATAAAGAAATTTAGCAATTTAATACAATTTGAAAAATTTAGTAAAATATGAATTTTTTAAAAATTTAATAAATTTGAGCTTAAAAATTATAAATTTTTTTATGTCACGGTAACAGCTCTTCAACAAACTATGATAATTATCATAAAACTTTTATAAAGGTAATACCGACTAGTTTCGACACTTCTTTTTTTTTCTGAAAAAAAGGCTCAAATAAAATTTTAACTTTATATTTGGTCAGCAGGGGTCCTAAAATTATACATTTAGAGTGAAGTTTAAAAACTTGTAAAATACTTTTCAAAGTAAAGGCAAATTTGAGATGAAAAAAGAATTTTTCATGTCAAGTTAAAATTTTAATTTTAAATTAAAAAATCGCTAAAATTAAATGAATTTTATTCTAGATCAATAATGTAATTACTTGTGTTTTGAATTAAAATGTTAACAATCTTTCGAAAAAACAATGAAATAGAATTAATGCAATGTTTAATATCGAATTTTTAAGGAAATTTTTTTAATATTCTCACTTAAAACTTCATAATACTTGCAAATTCAAATTTGCATCTTGGCCTTTCATTCAAGACATCGCTAACATTATATAAAATCTACATTCAAAATTTCAAAGATTTCTAGATTAAACTTTTTTTGTGATGTGTGTTAGCGTAAAGAAATTTTCTCAAAATCAATGTTCTTCAGATAATGCAAGAAAATTCTGATAAGAAAAAAATCATAGTTCAAAATGTAATTTTTGAAAATGAATTCGTCCAAAAAATACAATTTAATCAAATAAATAAGGGTTTAAAAACTCATAACGAAACAAAAAAGTTTTTAGTTACGTTTTCGTGAATTTACTTACGGTTTCAGTTTCGTCTGTCAACATACGAGAAGAACAACAAACTTTATTTCCAAAGTTCGGAGGTAAAAATTTTAACTTGTTTTGGAAAGCTAATGAACTAAAGTTTAAATATAAGTAGTAAAAAAAAAAAACGAATTCTTTTTTGGCTAAGTCGCCGATTTTTACCCAGCCCGTATACCTTAAGTAGCAGTTGTAGACCTCGAGATAGAAACTTGAAAAAATATTTTATCCAAATGACTTTTTAAATGAAATAATAAATTTTGCATAATAATATTAATAAAGACAGGCTTTGGGAGATAAATTATGCACGACCAGTCTGATCAATCAAATATCAGTTATTTAATCGACTCTTTTCGAGTACATGCCCAAGACAAAATCCTTGATGGTCCCATCAAAAAATTTTGATGGTTTATGTTGGTTTCAATGCGATTCATGATGGACCAACATCATTTGATGGTTACCATCATCCAACATTTTCCATTATGCGTTCATGGTTTTTGATATGCCCAATGATGGTTAACCATCTTGAGAAGTTTGATTCTCACGGACCAACAATCCATGAGGGTTCCATTTATACATTTCCATGATGGTTTAGTAGGAATTCTTGTTGGTTCTCAGGAATATACCATCAAAACAATTTGGTTTTTTTTAAACCGTCATAAAT